TGAACGACACAGAAATAATAAAAGCAGAAGGGCATATGAGAACTCCAATTAACAAAATGGATATTGAAGCCATGACAGAGTATCCTAACGACATAATTACTGATAGAAATGTGAATGGCGGATTTGATGAGAACGAAATGTTTACTATAAATGTAACTAGCTCATTACGAACAAACAACAGCCTCTCTACGTCTAGACCTTCTTTAACTACTACAACTAAAGTTGTACCGCCGCTAGATTTAGGAGATGCCCTAAACAGTTCTAAAAAGACAAAAGAAGATTATGACTATGATTACACAGAACCAACTTTACCTCCATCGTTACCTAATTTGAAGTATGTGTAGATCTTATTTCCTTTTTCTAGTGAATTTTAGCTTCAATTTTAAATGACGTCTTCTATATGTTTCAGAATAATTCCATTTGTAGCAGCTGATGCCGTAGTTGATGACGATACATCCAAAGAAACACTGACTTACCCCATGCTAGAACGAGAAGACAAATTCCCTGTTTATTACCCTGCCGTTGACACCAAAGAAATTCCTTACGCAACAAGAAGGGAAGATGTGTATCCACCAACACAATACCCAGTTTTTGTATCTGATAAAGTAGAATCGCCACAGTATCCAACCTTAACTGAAGATGTCGACTTACCGAATTTACCATATCCTGGCATTGGTAATGATTTAAGCATGCCAGAACATGATTATATTATATCTACTTCGATCGGAGCAAATATTCCAGATATTAACAAAGCTGTAACTAAAATCCCAACCACTAGTTCCACTTTTGGTATTAAAACGCCATCAGTGAATTTGTTTTCGCCTCCTGTTGAAACTGAAGGTATGAAATCTTTATAGTCCAGTCATTATAGTAAGTTCACCTCGGAATTCGAGATACCCAGCTGTAAGTCTGTAAATACGTGTATATTGACACCCTAAAAGTTGTCTCAAAACCTACATATGGTAGGGTGTAAGCAACTATTAAATTTCAAGGTCAACGGTCACAAAAATCGGTTTTTTGCGCTTTTTTAGAAATATCTCATTTCCTGTGGGTTTTTTGCTATTTGTATTTATTATCAATATCGTAGAATACTAAATTCTCTACAAATTTTGATTAAAAACTTTTTTTATACGGTGAACCGTTTTCGAGATAGAGGGCGGAGAGCGCGCGGTCACTGCATCACTTCAGGTCTACTTAAGCGGTTTAGATTTTTCATACAAAAGGATTTTCCCGCTAATTCCTGTGGGAATTTCGGGAATTCCTTGTTGTAACTAAGCTTTGAGTTTACTAAGGTACCTACATGCCAAATTTCAAGCGTCTAACTTCCGTTAAGCGTTTAGATTTTTCATACAAAAGGATTTTCCCGCTAATTCCTGTTCCCGTGGGAATTCCTAAGTATACTATAACCTGCCCAGGTGTATGAAGAATAATTGTACCAAGTTTCGTTAAAATCCGTCGAGTAGTTTTTGTTTCTATAAGGAACATACAGACGGACAGACAGACAGACAAAAATTTTACTGATTGCATTTTTGGCATCAGTATCGATCACTAATCACCCCCTGATAGTTATTTTGAAAATATATTTCATGTATAGAATTCTGTCCGTCTGTATGTTCCTTATAGAAACAAAAACTACTCGACGGATTTTAACGAAACTTGGTACAATTATTCTTCATACACCTGGGCAGGTTATAGTTTACTTAGGAATTCCCACGGGAACAGGAATTAGCGGGAAAATCCTTTTGTATGAAAAATCTAAACGCTTAACGGAAGTTAGACGCTTGAAATTTGGCATGTAGGTACCTTAGTAAACTTAAAGCTTATTTACAACAAGTAATTACCGAAATTCCCACGGGAATTAGCGGGAAAATCCTTTTGTATGAAAAACCTAAACCGCTTAAGTTGACCTGAAGTGATGCAGTGACCGCGCGCTCTCCGCCCTCTATCTCGAAAACGGTTCACCGTATAAAAAAATTTTTTAAACAAAATTTGTAGAAAATTTAGTATTCTACAATATTGATAATAAATACAAATAGCAAAAAACCCATAGGAAATGAGATATTTCCAAAAAAAGCGCAAAAAAACGATTTTTGTGACCTTTGACCTTAAAATTTAATAGTTGCTTACACCCTACCATATGTAGGTTTTGAGACAACTTTTAGGGTGTCAATATATAAGTATTTACAGACTTACAGCTGGGTATCTCTAATTCCGAGATTCTTACCTAATTTAAGCTTAAATGACTGGACTATTAAACAAGAATATTTTATTGAATAACATTCCAGAAATACCTAATAAAATTATGTGTATTCCGTTTGCAGGTGGATTCATTCCCAAGGGTCCGGGTATCATTGACGAATACTACGCAGTGTATCCAAGCACCCCATCTGCATCGTCGGTTCCGCATTTGACAACTTCTATGCAGTTAGACATTACAAAAGGTAGATTCTTTGTTCAGTTTAGTTTTGAAATAATTAGGTATGATGTTGGCGATTGATCATTGTTCAAAATGGCATGGCATTTCTATAATGAAATCTGTTTATTTTAAATCCAGGTGAATGCATATCTGGTGACGGGCGGCACGTGCTGGAGGGCGACTCCATCTCGCTGGCGTGCTCCGTGTGCACGTGCGCGTGGGGCGAGCTGCACTGCGCGCCGCGGGCCTGCCATACGCCGCCCAGCTGCATCAGGCGCCCGGCCACCACCAGCTCGGTCGACTTGTGCTGCGGAGAACTGCTTTGTGAACAAGGTAAAATAAATATTTACTAGTTATGGAATTAAAACTTACCGCCATGGTGTTGATAGTAAATACTTGCTAAGGTTACCCCTTACACTTTTCATTTCTTTACAGATAAGAAGACAAATACCAGACCTAATCTTTTGATCGACATAAAAAAGAACGAAACTAAAGTTTTTATTAACAATCAAACTGCAATCACTGAAGACGTTAAGCCATCCATTCAAAATCCCGTAGTTTCTAACGATACAGTATTAAATAATGGCACCAAAGATATTCAAGAAGATAAATATAACAGAACTGCTGCTACGCATGCGGAATCTAACATTGAAACTACCACCGTTAGTACAAACATTACAATAATTACAGAAAAAATGTACACTTCTCCACCATTAGCATCTACAACTAATACAGCGCCAGTAAATAATGTAAAAAATGAAAGTGAAATACAGAATCATGACTATGATGATGAGGAAGAAGACGATGAGGGTTTCTCTTTTGGAAGTGTTCTAAAACTTCTTTTGAGTGATAATTACGAAACAACAACCAACGCACCTTACACGAAAAAATTCACTACCACTGCTAAAGTTCCAGTTACTTATAGGACCACCACAATCCCATCTACAACAACGAGAAGGCTTCCGCCTAAACCTCCACTGGTGCCTTTTATACCTATGCCACACCACCAGTATATACCGCCCAAGAACACATACAATCAAAATACGGTCAACAGAATAGATCACCTCGTGCTAGGCGAGGCGACTGCTATCAAGAAGACAACGCCTCGACCATTGACTACGCCTTTCAAGGCAATATCTTCGTTTAGACCAGTGACGACAAGACAAACGACGACGCAAAAGCCTTATACGAGTAGTACAACGAGATACACGGAACCGACGAAAAAGGTAGAAGAATCCTCGAGCCATACGCCAGTCATGCACGAAGGTCCTCGGCCGCCCAGTTCCAGCGCACTACCGTTGCCTGGGATACTGAAGCTGGCAGGTTGTAACATCTATGGGAGGATGTATCGAGTGGGCAGGATTATCACTGAACTCTCGACTCCATGCCAGGAGTGTTGGTGTACGGAACTAGGGGTGCAGTGTAACTCTCTAAGCTGTTGATATAGATAAGGATAATTATTACCTCGGTACCGTCCAATCTGATGATACGTGTGTTAGTAAACTTTAAAGTATTAAAGGGTACCGAGAGGTTTCGATGCATTTATTGTACAGTATGTGGTCGAGTGAATGTTTGATGAATGTGAGGAACTAAAATTATTTATTTAGTACACTGTAATAGCCGGCGGCATTGATCTCATACCATACAAACTTTCCATCATTGTCATTAACTGTAAAAATATAAAAAATGTTGTAATCGAAAATATTACAATTTGATTCATATTATGAAATACTTTAAACTCAACTGAAAGATTACCCATTTGCCTCAAAATCTCTAACTTTAAGTAATTTAAGTATTTGATAAGCAGATCCTAATTTTAATATGATCGCAAGAATAGTATGTAAGAAAGATATAAATTATTATGGAAAAGGCTTGTTTCTTTTATTTCACCAATTCATGACCTACCTTCCTTCATGTAAGTAAATAATTATAATGGTGCGTCCAGACTGGGCGCACGGGCTTGCGCGGCAAACTCTACATCCTGCACTCAAGAGCAGGGTGAGCAGGATGACCAGCCTGGGCGCCCAGTCTGGACGCACCATAACGAAGGCAGCTGGGTAACGCCCAGTTGGGTATTTTACACATTGGGAGTAAATCAATAAAACAAATGAAAATAAGTATTCAAAACCTGTTTTATGCTGAAATATCAAGCGACATACGAAGTCAACAGGTAACATTTCCATAATTTCCATAATTACGAAAAAGCATATTCACAAAAGCAACTTTGTTAGTTTCTAGGTCTATTTGTGTAAAAATATTTACCATGTTAGAGTAATAATTATGCTTACGTCACATGGGTGGTGAAGTATAAATACCTCCAAACTAACGTAACGAAGGAATATAACATTGTTGTTTAACATTAAAGTTATTAAAACATCAAATATTAAGTGGGAGGTATTTTCCTTTACCGTCGATATGTAAATAATTTTCAGCCTCCTGTAACCTGCGCGCCTAGCTAAACTAAAGAATAGCATAACATGGATGTGATCACTAATTTGCAGCTACGATACCTGATTCAATATTGTGTTTCTTTATGGTTCATTAAGTTCTGTATTAGAGCAAAATTTACATGCAGATTTTTACATTTTATCTGTGAGGTCATCAATATCTATAGAAACATTTAAAAAACTTTAGGCACCTTTGGTCAGTAGAGAATGACAAATTGTATACTTAATATCTTTTTTGATGCACATTGTTTGAAATATAAAAAAATCTTAATATTTAATGTACAATATACAAACTCCAAGGAATATTTTTTACAAATACAGTACAAAAGATATGTTTGCGTTATCTCACTCCGTTAAAAACCCTTCCAGGGTCTGATAAACCAGATAACTTAATTTTTGTTAAAATGTTCAACTATACTTAAATATTTCAACATAAAAGAGCGTTTTCATTTTCAATGACTAACATGTGAAAATGTTACAAAATTTGAGACTATTAAAAGTAACTTAAACGACTAGAAATAAATATTTCTTTGGTTAACATAAACACCGACGCTTGTTATCACAATTGTGTCAACTTATGGCACGCATTTATCACTTCTATCTTCTTGAAGTACAGTTTCCCTTAGCAGAGAAAGAGAGAGAGAGAGAGAGAGATTTTGATATTTTGTATTGTGAGGCGTATGCGGAGCTTCCTCCATTCTCGTCAATAAGTTCATTTATACATATTACATTTTTATTAACCTTTTCATTTGAATTTTAGTGATAGGATACTTCATTTAAATGCCTCGCCACGATTTTGTAAGCATAATAAGTTGTGCGGTCAAGACGAAAGCTGCACCACTGCAGGCGTCGATACCAAGTAAATATTCACATTGCACCATTTTATACAACTACCTTACAACAATCACGAGCCAATGTTTTGATGCAAAACAATTAAAAGATTTCATAGAAATCGTTCAAACTTAAATACAACTACTTCTTACGATATTTATAAAATAAATTTTACTTACGAATTAAAGTTATTTACAGAGGCAAACTTGTTTCGTTACCTAAAGCGTCATAATCTTTCTTATTATTATCGTATGGCACCAATTTATTATATTAGTACTTATCATGGATGCCATGAAAAGCGCCCACTCTTAATAAATTCGGTCTTGTTTGAAAGAGTTTTGAATGACAGTGAAATAGGCATTCTTTTCTGCTTGTGGCGCGTATCATGACAATGACTTGATGATAAAAATGTGCCTTAACAACTTAACATATCAGTAAGTAGTCAGTCGAATTAGCTCAAAGTGGTCAAACAATCATGTTCATACCACTTTCAATTTCATTTAGAGTGCATCAAAATACAACTATTTCTAAACATCATCTACTTCTTCATAGCATCATTCATAATTTTCTGAAGTTCTTCTGATGATTTGGTCGATATAATTTCGTTTCTCACCAAGTCATTTTGACGAAGCTTGTCTTCAGAGGTGGCCTTGATGATCCCATGTCGATTTGGAGCAGCAAACTCAGCCAATATCAATAGTCTACGTCGTGCCAGAGCGTGAAGTGTAGCGCCGCGGCGATAATGCCTGCCGTCAGCACCAGCGCCGAAAGAACGCGGCACACCTTTATGAATAAGGTCGAGTCGTTCTCACCTGCAGACAAAGAGGTACCATAATGAATATTTAATGATTTTATAGGATGAAGTTTCTATGAGTCGGATAGAATTTTAGAATGAATGATCTGAATTAGGCCTGAATCAGGCCACTGGGGCAGGAAAGTTCTTGAGTGGCGACCACGAGCCGGAAGACGTAGCGTGGGCAGGCCTCCCACTAGGTGGACCGACGATCTGGTGAAAGTCACGGAAGGTGCCTGGATGCGAGCGGCGCAGGACCGGTCTTTGTGGAAATCCTTCGGGGAGGCCTTTGTCCAGCAGTGGACGTCTTTCGGCTGAAACTAAGGAACGAACGAACCATCTGAATTATGACCACATTGAAACAATGTTTCTGAGAAATATTGCTAAGTGTTGTTCAGTAGGATTTTGATTTATTGCCGGATTAGGATTTGAATCTGTGTGGTTCTAGAAGAGTATTATATGGTCGCCATCACTCTTCTCGTGGATATCAAAGAAGAGAGGAAGTAATAGGTGACTATAATAAACAGGACTTTATCCTCGCTATTCCCTTGGATATCGTAAAAGGAGACATGCAAAAATCAGGCTTCTCATCTGGCTAGCGTGAGAACGTGGGAAGTGTAGGCCAAATATTACTCAAATAATTAGATTAGGTAGGGTCATCCTCCTGCAGTGGAGACTGAATGACCTGTAGGCCTAGGATGCACGCCGCGATAAGCGGTTATCACCCCATTTTATCGATTTTGCTTATACATTTTGACGTCGATAAGAGTTATATCACGGCTCGCATCCTAGCCCGGCTGATGATGATGCTAGGAGGCAGATAATCTTTCAAAAAACCCAGTATGATAAGATCCTGAATTTCGGAGCAGGGTCAAAGTAATGTTTCAGTATAGAGCGCCTGGATGCGAGCAGCGCAGGACCAGTGAATAAGAAAATCCTTGGGGGAGGCTTTTGTTCAGCAGTGGACGTCATTTGGCTGCAAGGAACTTACCATGGAAAACAATGAAGGCGATGGGCACGCCGACGACGGCGCCAAGCACGTGCGCGGACCAGGCCACTTGGTCGGCGCGCGCGGGCACGGGCGGCGCGCCCGCGGCCGCCCAGCACGCCTCCGACGCGCCCAGCACCACCACGCTCAGCGGACGGAACCACCATAATGGAATGTGCCCGAACCTGCGGGAGAACACTAGTTAGTTTTCTTCTTCCGGTAGTTGGCCAGAGCCTAAACACTAAGATAACCTCTTTAGGAACATTATCTTAAACTGTCTTGAAAACCTCGTTACTTTTCCATCGAATGTAAAATTCGATTTTAAGTTGTTTTGAAATCATTCAATCATTTTTGACATGACATTGACAGATATGTCAAAATCCACCAATCATGCAGCATTTGAACCTCGCGTCTACGTATTGCCATCTGGCGGATTTTTCAATCGCGAAAACCCTCATTGACGATTGTGTTGGCGAATAAGTCGATAGTGGAAATATCAATTACTGTAAGGGACAAAACACGACTTTTCAGGAGAGCCAAAAAACGATTTTTTTTTTCTTTATACCTCAATATCTTTTTATGTGATGTTACGATTTAAATAGTTTCTATGGCAAAGTTTCTTAGAATTTTCTGTTCTTTCATAATATAAACGCCAAATTTTCGAAAAATGGGTAGTTTAAAAGATAGCATGTCCCTTACATTAAAAAAACGAGCTTGACTGTACCTTACAATGTTGAAATTTCACAGTATGGAATGTCATGTATGTTGTAAGGTACATTTAAGAATAATCACGAGGCTGGAAGTCATCGAGCTTACGAGCGAGACGATTCGTAATGACTCTCGAAAACAGCTTGTAGACATGGCTCGGAAGTGAGATGGGTCTATAATTCTTCAACAAGGTTTTGTCGCCTTTTTTGAAGAAGAGTGTCACCACACTTCTGTGCCATACCGTAGGCGTTTTTCCTTCGAGGATGACGGAATTGAACAGCTTCTGAAGAGCCTTCAGCCCCTCGGTCAAAAACCCAACTGCGTAAAAATGAACAGAAAAAAGATAGAAACAAGACAACTTAGTGTTCATAAGTGTAGTAGGTGTGGGAGGCATTAAATGCATATCACCACCAAAAAAAGTAATTGATATCCTATATGCATATTAACGTAAGGGCCTAATTATAATAAATCAAAAAGTTTTAAATGAAGTAAGGTTCAATGAGTTCAAAAGTTAAAACCAACAGTTTAGGGTAAGGGCTGAATTGTATTATTAAAAGGAATTTACGTCCTTTAAATCATTTGTTTCCCCAAAAGTCGTATTCAGACGACTAAAAATGTTTAAGGTAAGGGACATTTTTTTAAAGATATCAACATTTCAAGTATACCAATCGATAGAGCCGAAAATTCTGAATGCGTTGGTATATATAACTCATTTTGGCCAAAATGTCCCTTACATTAATTGATACTTCCACTATCGAAGTGACATCATAATATGTTTGTTTTGTTTGTGCAAATAGCTCAAAATAGTCTGTCGATTGGACAGCTGCTGGCATAATTTCAAATTATTAGAAAGCAGAGCTCTACCGGAAAATTACTTTATTACAGGCGTATTACCCAGAAATCGAATGAGACTTGCCAGATGCGGATAGATTAGTATAATTGGAAAGTGATACATTTTAATTCCGACTATGTAAATAGGTTACTCAGTCATAGCCAATAATTCAAAATAACCTTGTATTCATTACATCATTTTAAATTAGTTTCAGGACAATACGAGTAAAACCAGCAACCCAACCGCAATATTTGCTCTCGCGAATTTATCAAAACCACATTAGGTACTGCAATATTCTAGTACTCGTATTTGTAAAATGCCGGTGAGTTAAAACGAAAAACTTCAGTATTTTTCAAAAAGTGTGTGGTGATCTTAACGCGTACGGATTTCTCACACTGGCTGGATGCAGTCTTCGGTTAGGTCAAAATAAACACAGCCCGCATCATGTGTATTTACTTTGACCTGACCGCAGGACCGCTGGCCGTATCCTGTGTGCCAAATTCTGTAAAGTCGAAACATTTCAGACACCTGCCGGGCTAGGGGGTCGTTGTGATAATATCTTATCGATGATTTTTGACGTCAAAATGTATAGGGATTTCGCGTAAAATCACGCATCACGGCGCGCGTTCTAGGCCTACTGATGGTGTTGAAAAGGCAAAGACTCAAGACTGACCTCAGACAGACGTTGGGCAGGTGCGCCGTGAGCAGCGCATACACGGCGGCGGAGGCGCCCACGACTTGCACGCGCGGCTGCAGCGCGCCCGCGCCCAGCGCGCCCGCCGCCACGCCGCCGCACCACACGCACACCACGCGCCACCAGCCCTGCTCGCGCTCCAGGCACCACCCCACCTGGACAACACAGGGTTTGTTACTCCACTGCGCATGTAAATGCTTTTGACGTAATAAAGCAGATTTCAGGTAAAGGTAGCAGGAAGGCGCTGGACGCAGGCCGCTAGCAACCGGGCAACATGGAAAGCATTGGGGGAGACCTATGTTCAGCACGTCCTATGGCTGAGATGATGATGATGATGATGAAAGCAGATTTCATCATTGGTCGTTATGCGCCATCAGCCCTGCTCGCGCTCTAGGCACCACCCCACCTGGACAACACAGGGTTTGTCATTCCACTGCGCGCGCAAAACACTTTTGACGTTACAAAGCAGGGCCCACCCCACCTGGACAACACAAGCTCTGTTACTACACTGCGCGCGCAAAACACTTTTGACGTAATAAAGCAGATAACATTTCGTCATAGGTCGTTATGCGCCACCAGCATTGCTCGCGCTCCAGGCACCACCCCACCTGGACAACACAGGGTTTGAAATAATAAGACGTTTACGTTAAGACCCGTGTCTTACTATTTTAATTGAAATGGAACGCGAAAGTTTAAAATTTTATAACACAGGGTTTGTCATTCCACTGCGCACGCAAATGCTTTTGACTTGCTAAAGCAGATTTCATCATTGGTCGTTATGCGCCATCAGCTCTGCTCGCGCTCCAGGCACCACCCCACCTGGACAACACAGAGTTTGTCATTCCACTGCGCACGCAAATGCTTTTGACGTGATAAAGCAGATTTAATCATTGGTCGTTATGCACCATCAGCCCTGCTCGCGCTCCAGGCACCACCCCACCTGGACAACACAGGGTTTGTCATTCCACTGCGAGCGCAAAACACTTTTGACTTATCAAAGCAGGGCACGAGCCCACCTGGACAACACAGGGTTTATCATTCCACTGCGCACGCAAATGCTTTTGACGTGATAAAGCAGATTTCATCATTGGTCGTTATGCGCCATCAGCCCTGCTCGCGCTCCAGGCACCACCACCTGGACAACACAGGGTTTGTCATTCCACTGCGCACGCAAATGCTTTTGACGTGATAAAGCAGATTTCATCATTGGTCGTTATGCGTCATCAGCCCTGCTCGCGCTCCAGGCACCACCCCACCTGCACCACACAAGCTATGTCACTCCAATGCGCGCGCAAAAGGCTTTTGACCTAATAAAGCAGATAACATTTCGTCATCGGTCGTTATGCACCACCAGCCCTGCTCGCGCTCCAGGCACCACCCCACCGGAATGAAAAACCCTGTGTTTGTCCACCACTGCGCACGCAAATGCTTTTGACGTGATAAAGCAGATTTCATCATTGGTCGTTATGCGTCATCAACCCTGCTCGTGCTCCAGGCACGACCCCACCTGGACCACACATAATCCGTCACTTCACTGCACCACTGCGCGCGCAAACCGGGGCTTTTGACGTAATAAAGCAGATAACATTTTCGTCATCGGTTGTTATGTCCAAAATAGTAGAAGGAAAATCGGAATCATGAATTAATTTTAGGTATAATACATCTTCGCTAGTAGATAAGCCGACGTCAAATACATAGTCCGTGACGCACAAAGTAGTCAATAAGTTCGCAACTGTTACAATTGGAATAAGATTATATTGTCAACATTTTGGCCACTTTGACCACAAACTATTTGACGCCAACTGTATCTCGTTCGTTCGTTTCAGCCAAATGACGTCCACTGCTGGACAAAGTCCTCCCTCAAGAATTTCCATAACGACCAGTCCTGCGCTGCCCGCATCTAGGTTCTTCCCGCGACCTTCACCTGATTGTCGGTCCACCTAGTGGGGGGCTTGCCCACGCTACGTCTTCCTGCCCATGGTCGCCATTCGAGAACTTTTCTGCCCCAACGTGACTGTATTTTACTAGCGATGAAATTAACTAATGATTCCGATTTGATAAAGATTGGGGATATCTGAAAACGAGTGCATTCGCTGATTTATGCAGTAAAATAATGTGAAACGTATTTCAAAATGCAAACTTACAGCGAGGGCCACGACTGCATTGAGGGCCAGGTGCACGGCGCCGGCGTGTACGAAGCCGTAGGTGAGCAGCCGCCACGGTTCGCGCCACCACGCGCCCGGCGTCCACCGCAGGTAGGCGCGCGCGTCCTCGGGCAGCCAAATGTGGATGCATACCTGCCAATAATAAACTTCATTAGAGTTTAATATTTTTTTAAATTAAAAGATAATACAGATATTGTTCCGTTCCCATAAACGTTAACGCTCATTACGGGAAAAGGTCCTAATAAAATTCCACTTAACGAACCAATTAACTTATCATCACATTAATTAACTGTTATGGAGTAATAACATTAATTAGGTACTTACGATAAAAAAGATCATGGAGACTATGAAGTATGGAGGTTTGAGGATAGCGAGAAGCTTTTCTCGTCTCTTCTGATATTTGGTTTTCTGCTTTTTGACACATTTTGGAGTTTGAGGGCATTTTGCGTGTCTTTTGGGAGTGTTAGATACGCCGAGCGTGAGGCCCGCTTGTAGGCGTGACTTGTGCTTTGGCACCGGTTGGTGAACCTGAGGGCTCAGAAGTCGTCGATTCTCGCCGGGGCTGTTGTGGACGCTGTCGGAACGGTCTAGGTCTTCGTTCTCTATCCAGGCCTGCGCGGGCGCCGTCAGCTCGGGCAGGATCCTCCTGCCCTGGTGCACTCTGGGCTCGTAGTCCTCCGCGTTGAGCCGCTCCACCTCCTCGTAGTTTGCGTCCGGAGCCATCGTGAGCTCGTCGACCCACCCTTGTCATCTTCTACCAGCGTTCGCAATAAGTCGGCTCGATGTCACGTCGTCATTGCTCCGCTCCTGAAACCGAATTGATAATTGAACTCAAATAATTCCAATTTATATGATTTCAGGAGGAAAATTTACTTATATTATATTATATTATAATTATGTATAAACATTAAGAGCACGTGTGTGTACCTACATCAAAGTAAAAAGGGAATTCCACAATTAAAACAGGAAATTAATATTCATAATGTGGTTTTAATAATCAGTTCTGCAATAAATATACATTATCAGGCATTATAATTTGGAGTATCTATTGGTTTCTGGTTATTCCAGATGGAACAAACACAAAGATAGTCCACGAACAGCAGATCCGCCCTTTTGACATAAATAGCCTATCTTACTAATTTAAATAGACGATATCCGCCAGTATCGTCGCAAATATATACAGGGTGTTAGGTAAATGGGTATGAGCCGACACTAACCCATGTTAACATGGCCATATAAATGGTATGGTGAACTCAGAAAATTTATATCTTCATTTTTATTATTTAAATTTTCATAAAAATCTGAATTAATAAAATTTATTTTGTATGAAAATTTAAAAAAATAAATCATGATATCAAATTTCTGACTTCACCATACCATTTATATGACCATGTTAACATGGGCTAGTGTCGGCTCATATACCCATTTACCTAACACCCTGTATATGAAAATTGACACGCATTTGTTAGTTCATTTTTGTTACAATTTGTTACCTAATAGCTCAGGAGTTATTTTTCGATAGGTCCATAGGTCGATAGTCCATCTTTTTTAAATCTTTATTGGCTTTCCTGTACTATGATTCGATTCACCTACCCACTTTACGAGTACCTATAAAGGTACGTAGATTAGAAAATACATTCTGAATTAATGTGCAACAAAATACATCAAATTCTCAAGATTTTAAAGCTGCTGCCAAACATATAGTTAATATCTTACATTTATTTAAATGTACATTTTCCTCTGAAACAGATGATTTACTTATCCTTCAGCTCACCAGACAGCACAATCACCATGTTTGTGTTGTGGACAACTAATAATAGAGCAGGTTTCCCAGACTTGTAATAAGCGAATAGTAGCGGAAACTGATTTACAATATTTATATCTGAAATATTAAATCATTTAGCATTATATAATTTTATCGTTCCTATTATTGCCTTTGTTATTGCATAATTAATTGTTGTATTTTATAAACATATTAATTTGTTATCTTTTTGTAGTAAGTATTATGTGACTTAACGATGATAACTAAGTAATAATTTGTACACTTATTCGAGTTTTCATGAATGTAGTTGTTGATCACAAATATTTACAACAATCTAGTTTTTTCTTATCATCATCTCTCATCATCTTCTTCATAATCTACTATATAAAAATAAGTCGGGTTTTCCTCCCTGACGCTATAACTCCAGAACGCACGAACCGATTTCCACGGTTTTGCATTCGTTGGAAAGGTCTCGGGCTCCGTGAGGTTTATAGCAAAGAAAATTCAGGAAAAATGTCAACAGAAAAGCGGGAAGGGGGTAAAACGGGATCCACGCGTACGAAGTCGCGGGCGGCCGCTAGTCAACCATAATAATTGGCAATAGGTAATTGAACACAAGCACCTGTTATATAACTCACGTCACAGACATCCGAAGATTGTTATGATCTTTTGACAATTAACTATGTGAACAGATGAACAGAAGTTTCACAGAACTTCAGTTAGGGCCTCCGCTAAAACTCGCGCGAGCATTTAATTTTGTCTGCAGCGGGCACCTGCATGCGCTGCTCATATTAATTTTTGATGCTGAACCGTGTACGGGCGCCCGCGAAAGTTTTAGCGGAAGCCCTTTGAAGATTGAGCTTATTTTGCTTCAACATGAAAAACATCAAACTTTTATTTAACTTTGATCGATGACATTTCATGGACATGCACTTCAATACTTTATTTAAGAAAAAATAATTATTAATCCATAAACACAAAGTTTGTTTTACCTCAATATTATACTATGGTTTTACTAAAAATGGAGCCTACACTAAAATTAACCAAATATTTATAAAAGTGTAATAAAACTCTCTGCGCCTAAACAAAGATCTTTCACACACAGAGAGAGATATCAAATTAAATGTATTATGCAATAAATAAAACAGTTATTTTCTACTTTTCAGTGCACATTTCGCATGAAATCTTTACCAAAGTGCAAAGATGATATTTTAAAAATTTACGAATTTTAGCATATTTGACCTCGGGACTACTTGCTATTCGAGGTGCGGGTCGCGGCGGGAGGTCTGTCATTAGAGATCGTTATCAGGACACCATTGTCTATGAAAGTGCATCCATTATGCAAGCCAGTGGAGGTGCAATCAGAAGACTCAGTCTGCTAGCACAACGGTAATATTATTTGTTGTTAACGAATATTCCATGCTTATGGATACTGTAATAGACTAGATTTTATGTAAAGTAGCGCATAAGGTTAAAAAACATTATACGTTAGGACCTGGAATAGATTTTGGAATTGCAGTCGCGTCACTAATAGAGTATGTTAAATCTGTGCTAATAGTTTATCTTAAGAGATGAGCCTGCTCACTAACCTTACTCGATTACATTGCAAACTGATGAACATTGGTGCTTGCACATACTGGCTAATATCAATCGTCTACAACCAAGGTTAGTTCCTGTGTTTTGTCTTTATGTATACGGACATACATAACTATTTTCTTTTATCAATGGCAATGGTTTAAAATATCTGCCCATACTTTCATGTAGCAAATAAAGCTTTATTTCTCTGTAATGGTTAGTTAATAATTATAAATATTTAAAAAGTAAATTATATCTATAGATTTTGGAAAAATTAAAGTAATTATCTCAATTAATTAATATTTTCATTTAGTGTACGATAGCGTTTCAAAAGTTATAAATATACGAAATTATTAATCGAGCTTGAACTTATAACCGAACTGTTATCACGATCATCACAGAATGATAATAATCGATGTGTAGACATAATTAAAAATAATATAATTTGTGTATTAAATAAAGGTTATCGCATTTTATTACATAGGTACTATACTTAATATCATAGGTAATGTTTATTTTTGTTATTTGTTCATTTATGCTGTGATAACTGGGTACTGTAAATATTTTTATACGTTAACTAGCTGACCCGGCGAACTTCGTACCGCCTTAGCGTAGAGATTTTCTTAATATTTTTTTCCGTAAGAACCATCCTTGGACTTCCACAAACATTTAAAAAAAAGAATTATCGAAATCGGTTCAGCCGTTCACACGTGATGCCGTGACAACGCGAAACGGGTTTCATTTTTATATATATAGATTATGTTATTGTTTTAAATAAACAAGGTTCAATGAAGGTAATGTAGAATGTAAATAAACACTATTAGCGATAAATATTCATATTATGCACAAGATATCAGTCCAATTAAGTAATTGTATTTTTCCCAAAGTATTTTAATCAAAGACTAGAAACAAACAAACTATTTATTGTGAAAGTTATACATAAGTACATACATAGAGGTAAGATGGAGGGCAATAGTGATTCACAATTGGAATTCATAACATTGTAATTCTAAGCTTTGATCGGGATTACAAAGATCATAGGTATTTATGTGAAGGAAAGAGACCAAACGCCATAATGTTTTCAATTCGTCTTCCAAAAGTGTCTGTTCATTATTTCAACCAGGCAACTTTCTACATAACTTAATTAGTTTGCAAAAGGTATCTCTACCATCTTTGGAACTACATACCTACCTCATTGCCAAGATGTAGGAAAAAGTTGTCCTAATAAGTAATTATTATGCAAAATTGTAACGGATCTTAGATATCGGTTTATAAGTATACATTGTCAAGTCAGGCGATCCTACAATTTATTCAAATCAAACTGCTTTGATACAGCGTACCTATGTCAGATCATCACGATTCCAGAGACGTATGACAGACAGGCATCGAGATGCAGCGCCCTATTTGGACGAACAACATCGCGGGCATCATTAGAATATTGAAGAAGGTGCAGACCAAGTTACAAAGTGGACATCCTGAGGAGACCACCGGTGGAATGGCAATGAGGTACCGTTAGCTAATGAGGTAATAATGGGAGTATCTACTGTGCTATGGTAATGCACCTGGAGTGCAAGGGGGTCAAGTTTAGAAATGTATATAAGGTTTACCTGTTGGTTAACTTGTTATTATTACACACTATAAAAGATTAGTTTTTCTAAATAAATAAATTCCAATCATTATATGTATAAACAATAACTTAAAGAAATAAACCATATATTATACTTAATTAATTACTTATACATTTTTAATTAACAGAATATTGGTTATTAGCATTAGAAAAAGTTATTATAGTAAAAATATAATAAATATTTCCTCAAAATTAACAAAAACATTAAAAACATACCGATAAATAATTTTCCTTGACCAAGTAGGTATCATTTTTAATTTGGCTTATGAGGTGTGAATATTCCTTATCAAGACTTCGTTAGCTAGTTAATTTCGAATTTTAATTAAGTCAATATTTTATGTATCGCACCCAAATCCCAATTAATACAACTAAGTAATTACTAGATAATGATTATATTTTTTTGAGGTTACTGTTATCGGTAAGAACGTAAAACTGTAGTTAACTGAATTTTGTAAGAGCATACTGGAAAAACTTTCATTTCAAACCATTCAAGTTGATATTAGGAATTATCTCCTATTTTTTAAATTAGTTTGTGATAATATTAACTAACTATTTAATTACTTATTATTTTTAGGTGACTAGAAACAAACCCCCTGTTAACAAGTCGTTATTATGTAGGTACACTTTTGCATTGTGATTAAATAAACGTAGAAAACTATAAAATCAATAAGAAAACACTTACCTGTCGTTGTATATCAGGCATATTTTGATGACGAACGAGTTTTTTGCAAATCTTTATACAAAGAGATTTTGAGCATTTGTTTAGAAATTGAACTAGTAACACTAAATAGGTCAATATCGTCGGTGTGGTATTAAGAAACTGAACACGTGCGTGTAAACAAACGCGGAGTGAAGACGCAGAGCAGACGTGCGGCCGGCGCGGGGGTGCGCTTGTAAATAAACCACTACCTGCGCCGGCGCATGCCGAAAATCACGCGAGTCGCACTGCGGGCCATGTCTTGTCCCTGTCCTTGTTGCAATGTAAAGCTTATTATCATATTGGCAACACTTTTCGAAGCGCCAGCTGCTGCTGCTTACTTGTACTTGTCGCGCAAGTTTGTAAACTGATATTATATTTTTACCGCTACGGGAAAGATGCGTGTTATTTTTTTAGTTTGGTATTATAGTGTTCATTATCAAAACTGTTGCTCTTGTACAATGGATGACTTTTTTTAGCCAAGAAAGCATTTTGATCTCTTTCTTAGTTTATTTTACATGACTCTATAGCTTCATTGCGCTCCTAACCTCTTTTCAAAAAACCGTGTAATACTATGGTTTTTTCTAGGTCTCAATCAAAGTACTTATTATTACACTATGAACCTATGAACAATCTATGATTCATCTCTATACCGAATCTCTATATATCAATCGGTCCAGTGGTTTACCTATTCTTGAAAAAGTATTAAATTAAGAGTTCTTCGCATACACCTTAGCGCGCCGAACGCATACAATATTGGTAGATATTTGTAATAGCGCACAGGTGCACGCGCAGCACCTGCCAGCGCATCTGCGGCGCTGCGGCAGACGAACATCTGCACTCGTCAGGTTTAAATTATCTTCGAAGCCAACGTTTTTTTCTACTACACCGTCTGGCTAAGTGGCTGGAAGCGTAAGGAAGATCATTCGATTCTTCCATTAAAATCTCTAGGTCTGTTGTTAGAATAACTAGAGGTAAATATCTAAGTATTAAATTGACTGTTTTTTGAAAACTTTGAGAACGGCCAGGACACATATTTTGACTAAAGCGTAGTGTGTAATTAGGGCTTGCTTAGTTAGAAGCTTGGCTCTACTTAAGATCTGACAACTTTTTCCAAATTCGCCATATTGCCTCGCCTTGGCAAAATTTATTTATTTACCTAATTAGTTACTTATAAATATGAAAATGTTTTTGGTGAGAAAGTATCAAATTCACATTATTTCCAATGCGTTCACTTAAAATATTTGTTAGTCAAAAGTTGTAGAGCAACATTAGCAAATGCCTAAAGAGATAATAAAAGGAAGACTTGGAGTATTAATTAAATACACAATGGCAAATATTGTATTCAATGTGATCTCTATATGAAAATGATTCTCAGAAATATTTGTAGATCTAATAACCCGTTCAGTAAACATGAATATAATAGGAACTATGATTTAATGCATGAATTAGCAGGTAAAATGTTATCTTTCGGCTTACGGACTTTACGCAGCTCGGGATATGTAGGTATTACCACAGATCAGTCATATCTTAGAACCGTAAAGAATAGTTGTTTTTTTTTATCAATAAGTATTTTTAAAATAAATTGTGAAAATAGTTTTACCCTTCATTGAATGGTGGTGTACTTTACTAATATTATACTCGTAGATAATCATTATCTTTATTATATTTATGTCTTTTTTATTAGTTGTTCCTGAAACTGAACCTATTCAAATTCCATTTGAATCAATTTTACATTACTTTCCATGTTCTGAAAGCTCTCGTTATAAAATAAAAAAAATGATTGTATCTAAAATGTGATCGTTTGCAACTTGCAATTAGGGAGTTTTATAATAGTGTTGCAACTTCGGCGATAATTCGGTGTAGTTCCCCCGGAGTATCCTGGCGCAGTTTAGAATTTATCACGTTCCGGAAGTAGGCCGTTCCGTAGCCGTCAGCGTGTTGGCCGAAGTGGTTAGTGCCGGGAATTTCTCTGGGATATTTAGGTTTTAATTTGTCACGTAAAGAGCGATAAGTGTTTTTGAGTTTCTAAAGAGCGGCAAGTGTTTTGATTGAGCACCACTAGTATNCAAATCAATAATTGATCTAATTACTATCGTCTGTATTATAATCTTGATCTGAATCATGTTCATTAAGTTCCAAGGCGGAAATATGTATCCATGGCATCATGCGATCCGCCGCAACTGTTGTAGGCCGTTTATTTTGCGAGTTACTCATACCCGGAATTGGCACTAGCTTGTATCTGTCTCTACCTAACACTTGAGCTACTCGATAGGGCCCGATATAAGTAGGCATTAGTTTTTTGCTTTTGCCGTCATTGTTAAAGCATGTTTTAGTTATTTTGACAAGTTCCCCCTCATTATATGTACGTGCCGGTTGCCTATTTTTGTCGTAAGCCTGTTTCTGTCTCACTTGTTCATTATCAATTCTCTCCTTAACTGCCCTTCGAGTTTCAGTGAGATTGCTATCGTCTCGTGTTTCCATGGTTACTTCGCTAAGGATTGGATTCTTTTCGCCATTCATACAGGGACCAAACAATACTTCTGATGCAGTCTTTCCAATAGTTTTCTGGACAGTATTGTTTAATCCCCATTGAATGGTTCCAATATGCCTGTCCCAATCTTTTTCCCCATACTTAACAGCCATAGCACGCATAGAGTCGAGAATGGTACGATTATACCTTTCGACTTGGCCGTTTGACCTCGGACTTGCTACGGCATTCAAGATGTGTTTGATACCTTTTTGAGTACAAAAAGTCTTGAAACTGTTTGCCGTGAAGCAACTGCCTCGGTCGCTAACAAGACGATCGGGATTTTTAAAAGTACAGAAAATATCATCGAGAGCCCGAACGGTATTTTGGGTTTTTGTATTTCGGACAGGTTTAATGAGACAAAATTTGGTGAAGCCATCTACGAGAACAAGTAGATACGTAAAACCTTTCTTTGATTTCACGAAGGGTCCAAGGTGGTCAACATGAACTGTATGAAATGGTTGTTCGACTTTTGTAATGGGATGGAGCAGACCCTCGCGGTTTTTTGAGTTATTTTTGGCAAAAGCGCATTCGAGACAAGAAGTAACGTATTTTTTTACGAATTTTGACATCTTAGCAAACCAGTAATTTTTCTTTATCCTGTCAAGGGTCTTCTCCACACCAAAATGACCAATATCGTCATGGTTAAGACGACATAGATGCCACCTTGCACCCTTCGGAACCACCCAGCGCAAGTTTGCCTTGTCACCGCCTATGTACCGATATAATTTATTGTCCTTTAATACGTAGTTGTCTTTGATGTACTGAAGTCCCTTATCATCAAGGTTAGAATTTAGCACATCACATATTCGACGTAGCTCACTGTCACCCAGCTGGAGCGTGTGTAACCAATCGTCTTCGGTAATGGACATTACGATTGGAAATTGGTCACTAAGAGTTTCATTACCATCAAGAGCATTTCGTGACAGTGCGTCTACATGACCCATTTTCACGCCTGCTCTATATTCGATGGAACAGTCAAACTCCTGAAGCGATAGCCACCAGCGCGCTATTCGGGGTATCAGGTCCCTTTTAGTAAAGGTAGAGCGGAGAGCACTACAATCCGTTACGACTTTAAACTGTTTCCCTAGCAAGTAGACTCTAAATTTACGCAGTGAGCATACTACCGCCAGTGTCTCCAGTTCATAGGAATGGAAGTTTTTCTCTTCCGGTGAAGTCTGCCGGCTGTAGTATGCAACCGGTCTAAAATCATCATCTTTTGAAGATCGCTGCAATAGTATGCCCCCAATGCCCAGCCGACTAGCATCTGTGTGCAACTGTGTCTCAGCATCGGGATCATATATCGCTAGTATTGGCCTATCGATCAAACAACTCTTGAGAGTTTGAAAAGCTTGTTCTTGCTCAACTCCCCATTCCCAAGCCGTATTCTTTTTGAGAAGTTTACTGAGTGGAGAGGCAATATTCGCAAAACTATGTATAAATTTCCGAAAATAACTTGCCAACCCAAGAAATTGTCGAACATTATGAACATTTTGCGGCTGAGGAAAGTTCATGACACTAAGTATTTTCTTTTCGCCGGGACGGACTCCCAAAGAACTAATCTCGTAGCCTAAATAGTCAATCTTGTTACGCAAAAACTCGCATTTGGACAAATTTAGAGTAAGGTTTGCCTTTTCAATCAACTGCAAAACTTCCTCCAGGCGTTTAAGGCATTCAGTGGAATCTTTGCCGAAGATAAGGATGTCATCTATATAAGCCGTAGCTTTATCAAATCGAGCTGTCCCTAGTATAGAATTGATCATTCGCTGAAACACAGCTGGAGCGTTTGCTAGGCCGAACGGCATACGGTTGAATTCGTACTGTCCGTCCGGCGTAACGAAAGACGTCAAGTGTTTACTTTGCTCACTTATAGGCACCTGGTAATACCCTGAAGCGAGGTCGAGGGTTATGAAACATGCTTGACCACTGAGACGAGCTATTTCATCTTCAATTACTGGCATAGGGTATCGCTCCTTTACAGTAATTGAATTTAGCATGCGATAATCTACACAGAGCCTAAGTGAACCATCTTTTTTTCGAACAAGTAATATCGGACTAGCATATTGAGACACTGATTCTCTCACGACCCCTGCTTCTAACATATCCTTTATCATCAAACGCACTTTTTCTCGTTCATGGTGAGACAACCTGTATGGACGATAGACCACCGGCCGCTCACTACTAAGTTCTATATTCATTTCGGCTGCGTTTGTGCAGCCCAGATTCTTTAATGAATCGGCAAAACAATGAGCATACTTATTGAGTATAGAATAAAGAATATTTTTATCTTCGTCCGATGCGCTATCGTCCACACGAATTTGGCATTCATCAAGTGTATTTACATCTTTAGCTATCTCCGTTGGTTCTACGATAACCCTATTGACGACATCCACAGTTTCTGCCCTACATAGTACCGTATTTCCGGGAATCACGCAAGAATTAGCGTATGGAAAGACTGCTACTGTTAAAAACCCATTTTTAGGAAAACACAATCCTCCACAAATAAGATATTTCTTATTAGGTTCTCCTGCCAGTACGCTTCTAAGAAGAGCGGTGCCGCTAAATGTGGAATCGTCGATCTTGGCTCTTACTGATGCCGGGCCGCATAATTCGACTACATCTGTCGTCCTGATAGTCAGGGGAGAATCAGAGCCTGATAGGACTTCGGATGAAGGCAATTCATTGCCAATGTCAATAAATCGTAATTTAGATTTGTCCTTGTAGACAACTATATGAGCCTGCTCAGTGTAAGATTGACCTATCAG